CTGGCTGAAGTTTATCAACTTTATTGAATTTCTCAAAGAACCAACTTTTAGTTCCACTGACTTTCTTTCGTTTTCTTTTGTGTTTATTTTTGCCCTTATCTTTATTATTTCTTATCGTCTGCTTGTTTGGGGTTTGTTTTGCTCTTCCTTCTCTAGCTTTTTAATACAGAAGTTTTAGGTCATTGATTCAAGATCTTTCCTCTTTTCTAAAATAAACATCCAGTGCTCTGAATTTCCCTCTGAGCACCACTTCTGCTGCATCGCACAAATTTAAACTGTTGTTTCCATTTTAGTTTGGTTCAAAATACATCCTAATTTTTTATTTCTTCTTTGACCTCTGTGCTACTCAGAAGTATGTTGGTTTTTAAATATTCCAGAATTTCCCAGATATATTTCTGTTACCAATTTCTCACTTAATTTCATGTGGTCAGAAAACATATTTTGTATGATTTGATATATTTTAATTTGTTAAGACTGACTTTATGGACAAGTGTACGCCCTGTCTCGGTCAGTGTTCCATGTGCAGTTGAGAATGTATATCCTGCTGCTGTTGGGTGACTGTTCTGTCAGTGAGGTCGAGTTGGTGATAAGGGGGGTCAGGTGTTCCACGGCCTTCCTGGTTTCCTGTCTACTTGTCCTACGTGTTGAGAGAGGGGTTGCAATCTCCAACTACAAGTATGGCTTTCCCTCTCTCTCTTTTCAGTACTAACAATTTTTGCTTCATGTATTCTGAAGCTCTTTTATTAAATGCATAAGCATTCAGCATTGCTCTCTCCTCCTGATGAATTTATTTTTTTGCCATTATGAAATTAAATGTAGCGGATTTGTTTTTTGACTTTAGTACAGATATCACCAAGTTATGGTATTTCCTTCCAAACATTTTCTGTATTTTCCAACATAGTCGAAATCATGTTGTACTCACCAGTTTATATCTTATTAAAATTTTTTACTTGGTCCTGGCTGGCGTGTCTCAGTGGTTAAAGTGTCAACCTGCGCACCAGAGGGTTGTGGGTTCGATTCCCGGTCAAGGGCACCTACCTGGGTTGCAGGTTCCATCTCTGGGCCCTGGTCGGGGTGCATGCAGGAGGCAACCAATCGATGTGTCTCTCTCAACATCGATGTCTCTCTCTCTCCCCCCACCCTCCTTCCTTCCACACTCGCACAATCAACGGAAAAACTATCCTCCAGTGAGGATTAGCAACAACAAAAACTCTCTATGCTGTGTTACATATATGCCAGAGTATATGTGTGTGAATAAACATACATAGTTTTTAAAAGCATACAGTGAAAAGCCATGTACACAACACTACTTAAGAAAGAAAAGTGCCAATACCTTAGGAGTCATCTGCGCATCGCCCTCCTCCTTCCACAAAGTTCTCATCACTGTTGTATTAAGCATTCCCTTACTTTCCTTTAGTTTTCCCACTTACGTATTTTTAAATGGCATATTCCATTTCCCATTTGGCCATTATATAAATTATATTGTATACACTCACTATGACTTGTTTTGCTCAACATTGTGTTTGAGATTCATCCATATCGATGTCCAGAGTTGTAATTCATTACTTTTTTGACTCCTGTATAAAATCCTGTTCAAACGCTATGGACAGACCACAAGGTAAACATTCTTCTGACGGGCAGCTGGGGTGCTTCCAATTATTATTTCACTGTAACAAATGATGCTTCAATGAAGAACTTGAGTCGTGGGTCCGGGTGCACATACATGAGTTTTTCTAAACTATATACCGGAAGTGGGACTGTACGCACATGTTCAAAATATCCTCTTTTCTTCACTTCACCTTAATTGTTTTTAATGATTCTTCCCTGTTCTTTTTAATGACTGTAGGTTATCTCAGCACATGTATGCACTACGCCATACCTGTTGTTAAACACCTAGAGTTTGTCCCGTTGGTTTTAACTTTATATACAACTTTGGGAGAAAAAGACATTTTTTGCACAGAAGTCTCTGCTTTCTAGGTCATTCCATTATGAGGGATTCCCTGAAGGGTGTTTCTTGAGTCAAAGCTGAACACATTTGTATTCAGTGGGAGGGTTTTTATTGCTGAAATACACAAAGTAATCCCAATCCAGGTAGTTGTTAATCCTCTGGGATCATGGGTCCTTTGGAGACTATGATTAAGGGTATGGGCCTTTTCAGAAACACACACACACACACACACACACACACACCCCACACACACAAGTTGTATTTACAAACCAAACGAGAACAATCTCAACAGTTTCTCACTCTTTGAAGCACATATGCTGCATCTCTATTAAATTAAAAATATTGTCTTACCCACTGCATATGGTTTCTTATAACACTCCACCAATAAGTTCACACACCAACTCTTGTATCTGTCAGGTACCTTTTGTTTTAAACCACCATTTACTGAGCACCCGCATGTGCCAGCGCTATGCCAGAAACCGGAGACAGAATAATGCCCCTGGCTTCAAGAAATACAGCGCCTACTGGGGGAGACATAAAATAACAAGTCCTTATAATAACATATGTCCAGTGAGAGAGAGTCATTAGACAAAAGGGAGATACAAATTACAGATTGATCAACTTTCTTTTATCAAGGGACTGCAAAGAATGAAGAAGCAGTCTGCAGGGTGTTATGGGTAGAAGATGCAGCCCCGGCTGGGGTGGCCCTGTGGTTAGAGCATCGGCCCACGTACCTGAGGGTCACTGGTTCGATTCTCAGTAGAGGGCACGTACCTGGGTTGCAGGTTCGATCCCTGGTCCTGGTTGGGGCATGTGCGGGAGGCAACCAATCCATATTTCTCTCTCCTCCCCCCACCCCC